CCTCAACGTCCAGCTGCCAACTTCCGGCTCCCAACGACCCAAGCCCAAGGCCCATCTTGACGCCGTGTCCTGCACTCTGGCGCACAGGCCTTCTGCCCTGGAAAGGGCCTAAAGGGCCTCTGACCCCGACCTGTCTCTGAAGCATGGTGGTGCTTGCGTTTGCCACGGCCAGAGCTAGGGCCAGGAGCTCCACCCGCACGTACGTACGCGTGCACTCACCTCGCTTCATCGGCCGCCCAAGGCCGCCCTCGTGCCTGGCCCGCGCCTGCGCAGTCTGTGCCCACGCGCCCGAGGCTCCGATTGGAAGCAGGTGCTCGCGGTGGTGCAGGCTCAAGCACCCGGGACTCTTTTAGCTTTCTCTAGAAAGATGTCCCCGGAGCACGGGAATTTCGAGAGAAAAGGCCGCCCTGAGTCACCGGGGTTGGCATTTTAGCTTTGTGAGGGTCTTTCCATTTTCGGGCGCACTCCTTTGCACCTGCCTCTACTGGAAACTAAACACACCAGACCCAAGGCCCCCAACTGAGGGCTCGCTTTTTTGGGGGGAGGGGATGGAACTTTATCAACAAATTCAGAAGAACAGCATTTCCATGTGCCTGTCATCCACTTTCAAGAGGATTCGTTGTCAATCTTGTCTGTATTTTTATCCCAGCCGCTCCTTGGATGTTTAAAAGGAATGCCCAGATTTATTACTTTAGTCTTTTTACATTTTTTTTTTATTTATTTTGTGCCATGGCACATATGTGGAAGTCAGGGGACAACTTTTGGGAGTCAGTTCCCTTGTTTTGTTTTTTGAGACCGTGTCTCAACTATGTAAGCCCTGACTGGCCTATTATCTGCTATGCTGACCCCGCTGTCCCTGAAGTCACCAATGATTCACCTTCTTCTGGCACTATGATGACCAGGCTGGCCATGAACTCAGCTATCCACATGACTCGCTGGAATGCCGAGTTTAAAGGCATGGGCTATCGTTAGGTCTCAAACCTGGAACAAATGACGGAGATACCTATTTAACATATCAAATTGGACCTGACCACCAGGTTCTCCCAATGTCCCTCATTCCCTACTGGTATGCCTAGCATACCCCATCCTCTACCCTAAATTTCTACAGCCTAGGGGCTGGGCTGCCCTTCCCTATATAATCCAGTCATTTTAGTTACCCAATCTTTTGACCACCCTTTACTCTCCTGGTTTCCTGGCTACTCCCAAACCCCCATCCCCTTCTCTCACAAGGTCATGTTCACTCTGGACTCTCCTAGACATCTCTGCCTCTGGCTATGCCCTCCCTCAAATCAAACAACAAAACAAACAAAAACAAGAAACCCTTCTCCACCATACCTAGGAGCAGTCATATCTTTCCTTTTTCTTTAATTCAGCTGCCAAGCCTAACATTGCCTTTTTCATCTTTAATAGATTACTTTTGGTATAGCTTTACCTTTACAGAATGAAAAAGAAGAGGGTTCTCATGATGAAGTCACAGCCAATTTCTCCTGCTAGGACTGTGTTAGTGGGATAAGGTCTTCCCTTTTAAGGGCCCATTGACATCAACTGAGGTCCATAAATCTATCCAAATCCCTGCCTTGCTTCTATCCCTCCTCTGAGCCAGAACCCAACATTCCTTTTAGTTATCTTTCCATCAGTTTTCTCCAGATTGGCAGCTTCTGGGAGTACTGAGCAGGCTTTTGGAAGCCCACCCCATCATTATGAAGTTTGTCTGATCTGAAGTTTGTCTTGTAGGAGTCCACGTGTGACTCGGTTTCCATCTGGAGTCATTCTGGCTTAAAGAACTCATTTGAGTTCAAGCTTGCCTGTTCTGCTTCTTCCAGTAACCATGAGGGCTGTGAGCAACGTCTGTGTTAGCACACAGAAAGAGCATTTTTTTGCCCAGATGAAAGAGCACATTTTCTTTCTATTAGGATTTGGGCTGGTGTACGCCAGCCAGAGGCACTCCTAGTAACAGATTAGAGGCTGCTTAGCTAAAGATAATGCACCTGCTGGAGCTGCCTCCCAAGGACAGTGCAGGGAGGCGGTCAGCTGACTGTACTCTTTGTTCTGCCTTTTGGCTGTATTTAGTGTATATGCTGGCAGAGAAACTCGGGGCTGTTTGGTATTGGCCTTCAGTCCTCCCAGTCTATCCTATGTTTCTGTCTTCATTTCTCTTAATCTAACATTTCCTCAGCCTCAGCGCCCCCTCCCAGGGAACCCCCATCTAATGTCTGTTGGGGTGGGCTTTGACAAGTTCTCATGATCAGGAGAGAGTTTGAGTTGTTTGGAAGACCATGGAGGCAAAGTGACATGACCCTTTAGAGTAGGGTATCTGTCGGACACGGTCAAGAGGACGAGGCATGGTGAACAGTGCCTTCGGGAACTGTGAGAGAGGCTCCAGAACAAAGGCAGAGGGCCTTTTACCTCGGCGCACTTTGTTCCCTGGATTGTTCTGGGACCTGATTTGTGCCTCCTGTGTTAGACATTTACACTCAACTTCTAAGGCATGTGTATTCTTGTTGGACACCAGAACACAGCTGTGGAACCCAGACTGGTCAGTGCACCCTGACTCTGGACATGGCCTCTGCCTTGCTCTCCTGCTTTCCCAGATAGAATCTACAGTGCGTGCCAGGCATTGTGTTCAAATGGTCTGTCCTGAGAGAGTTCTGGGAAAGGGTTGTTCCATTGATATGTGTGTGCTGGCACTTATTTACAGGTTTTTCTGATCTTGCTTCTCTGAATGCGAACACAGCCTTCCTCAGGCCATTGCTGTTACATTTGTGTACAGAAGTGCACTGTAGCCAAAAGGAAGGTTGTCTGTTTTGTGATTTTTTTTTTTTTTTTTTGCTGTTGGCTTTTTGAGGGGCCTACTACCAGCTCCCAAATAAATCACACACAGAGGTTTCCTCTTAGTTATGAATGCCCAGTCTTAGCTTGACTTGTTTCTTGCCAGTTTTTCTAACCTAAATTACCCGGCTACCTCTTGCCTCTGGACTTTTATCTTTCTCTGTTTCTGTACACCATCTTTTACTTCTTTCTCCATGGTTTGTTGTGTAGCTAGGTGGCTGGTCCCTGGTGTCCTATTCTCCTTGTTCTCTCTCCTTTACACCTTGCTGTCCTTCTCAGATTTCTCCTTCTATTTATCCTCTCTGTCTGACAGCCCCGCCTATCCTTGCTCCTGCCTCACCATTGGCCGTTCATCTCTTTATTAGGACAATCAGGAGTTTTAGACAGGCACAGTAACACAGCTCCACAGAGTTGAACAAATGCAGCATAACCAAAATCACACACCTGAAAATAATCTTCCCCAACAGTTGTTACAACTTTAGACCGCTGTCTGCCCATTCTTTCAGGTCTCAGATTCCAGGTCCAGCAGACAAGAGCTGCACAGGTTGACGAAAACCAACAGATATCAAATACACATTTTATGAATGTGATTTATGATCATGGTAGCAGATTTGATCATATAGCTGACATAGTATTTATTACATTTCTCCCAGGTAAAGTTTTCTCTTTCTACACGGTGTGCTGTGGGAGAAGTCATTACTATTACACATTTCTTGCCCCAAACTTGGGAGTCAGGTCTTGTAACTTTTCAGAGCGGGCACATTTGGTGAGAAACAGATATGGAAAGTAGGGCAGTTCCTTATGCTGTTCATGATTCTTTTCGGTAGACACTTTTCAGTTCCAAGGACTACATTCCAGGCCTTGTCCATGCTAGGCTAATGTCGCACCGCTGACTTCTTCAAAAAACAAACGAAAAAACCCAATTTCATTTGGGAGTATTTGTAAATCCATATATAAGCCTGCAGTATTTCTATTTCATTCCTCTGGTTTTACATCATTATTTCTTTTCTTTTATGGTTAAAAAATTAGCTCCCCAAGCATACTTGATGTGTTTTGTTACTAGTTATAATATCAGAAATCCATTTCAGAAACAACGCTAGCGTTACTCCTGACAATGTGAGCACAGAAATGGTATCCACTCTTCTTTCTCTTTGTAATAACACACCTCACTAGTAATGTTTGCCCAATTTGTTTTTAAAGCCAAACAATTCTTTTCCTATGCAAGTATGTATTTAGAGACAGGGACTCCAGGAGGTAAAGCTTAAAAGGCTTCCACTCTACCTTCCCAGTGTCTGGATAACAGGTGTAAGCCACTACTCCCTACTCAACCCAACAATCTGTCATTGGCATCTTCATTGCAAAATGTGCTGTAACATTAGCGTCATTTACGGAGGGAGGCGTCATTTTCTTATCAAAAAGACATTGGCGTTGCAAGTTTTCCTCCCCAGCAATTATGAAAGTAGTTTAGCAGGAGTTAAGTTATGCTTTTCAAACTTGCCATTGAAGACGAGTCTTAATTTTCACTCACGATTTATGTCTATACGGTCCTAAACTTTAAAAGATCTTTTCACTGGCAGAGGTGGTTTGCAAAACCTACAGACTGTAACTGCTCACCTTCCTTCCCTCCCCAAACTGGGCTTGGTCTATAATTAACACCCTTCTTGCAGCCACACAACCTTCTGGGACACTCAGCCAGGTGCCCTAGGTCCTCCGCGTTAGCAAACGATGGTATCGGGTGAAGATTCCAAGTCAAGGGTGTCATGCAACCGCTGCCGAGATCTCTCACGCACAGGTAGGCTGCTCCTGCCGACTTGGCCCACCTACGTCCAGTGCAAAGTTTCACCTTCAGAACCGGGAAGCCACGTCTCGGATTCTCTTTTTATTACTTTATGCCACTGACTCACTACATGACCGTCCAAAGGGTGAGGAGGGAAGATGGCAAGAGTCCTTCCTACCGAATCAAAGCCACGGGCTTGGAGAGGGAAGGGCACGGAAGCCCTTGGCAAGGGCAGACATAGGTAAGAGGTGCTGGGGTAAGGTTTCCAGGAGCCCCGGGACAGGAGGCGGTGCTTCGAGAGCCACGCCCACCCCAGGTGCCTAGCGTCACGCTGCCCGCGCCACGCCGATTGGCTCCTCCCGGGAGTCCCGCCCCCTCAGCTGTAGCCGCGCCGGCTTCGGCGTCGCCGCCATCTTTGTTGATGTGTCAGCTCCTCGGGGGTGTTTTGGGGGGTACCCTGGGCTGAGAGGCAGGGGTCGGCCGCGATCTCCACGCGTGACTTCCTCGCTCACCCCGTGTCCGCGGGACCCTGCCATGGAGGCCCCGGAGCCGGAGGTCCATCGGCCTCGTTAGGGTGCGGCCCGGGGCCGGGCGACGGACGGTGAGTGGTCGAGGGGCGTCCGGGGATCGGCGGGGGACTCGCGGAGAGCTC